AATTGACATTTTCTCCTCTCCGACATGTGCCTTGTTATATCGTCATCCATGTAGTCATAATCGTGAAATTAACGTGCATCATTACCTTTGGAGCAAAATATTATTTTAAAAATATAATTAACTGTAGTCATGTGAGGAAGATGGACCCAATTGGCAGATATGGGTGACGATCAACAAATTTCGAAACTCTTTTATTATAATAATAATAACATTAATTATTAAAAAAACATTTAAATTATATAAGTTGACCTCCTATTAAAGAGTCATATTTTCACCGTACAGTTTGGTGAACCATCAATCTAAATTATGATAAAAACTTCCCAACTTAAACTATCCTAACCTAAGCAATTCGCTTTTTTCTTCTTTTCCCGATGTGAGATTATCAAATAAAAGTTAGCTAATGGAGATTTTCTTAATTGTTTAAAATTAAGAAAATCAAGAAAATTAGTATGAGATATTGAAAATCTCACAAGACTCCTTACCAAATAAGATGGAAATATAAGATTATCTTTATATGAGTAAAAATAACTCATTTTTTTCTTCTTTTCTCGATGTGGGATTATCAAATAAAAGTAATTATTTAAAATTAAAAAAATCAAGAAAGTTAAAATAAAAATCAAGAAAATTAGAATGAAGATTTGAAATTTCCAAAAAGTTTCTCACTTTTCTTATATAATATATAGGTAGATAGATTATTAATTGATCAATTTTCGAGTGCACTTGGTTCGGTGAGGCAAAAGCTAGCAACTCCTGGTCACTTTCAAATAAGGCCATGTCTTCTTTCAACAAAGTCATCCACACTACTATTCCATCACCATCTCTTGTGTCCAGCAATCCAATTCCAATTGGGTTACCAAATAAAACAGCAGTTGTATATGTTGGGTTTCCCCAACGGTTTTGTATTTTCAGCAGTGAAATTGTTATCAGTGGACTGTTGAACCCTTTCCTCAGCTGACAAATCAGGCTTGGCAAGTCTGTTTCCACACCACCGTCTTCGATTCTTGTCCACAACAATCCAATTATATTTCCAAAAGAATATTTTGGTAAGGGTGGCTCAAACATTGTGTGTATGTTGGCAGCCCCTGTCAATACGGGTAGGTTGCTGCACGCCCGTGTTGGTCGCTTTGGCCTTGAGGGTAGCAACTTTTGACACGTCGATCGCAAACCTTTTTGTGACAATCTTCTCGGTCATCTGCATGAACGTCATTGACAACACTGGGCAGTCCTCTCCCGGTGGGAAGCGAGACGAGGCAGCAATGAAATCTGGGACAACAGTCTCAGACTACCCGAGGGCGATGTCGGACCAGGCCTTCACGAAGGCGGTATAAGCGGCTCCATCGGCGATCTTGTGAGACATACGCACACAAAGTGCCATTCCGCCGCATGGAAAGAAGTTAAGTTGAACGAATAACACTACAAGAATGGAGAATATATAGGGCCTTCCACGTATGAGAAAGGTATTTTCTCATTACAGGTGGGCCATGCCTCACGACTTCAACAGTGAATTTTTTATTAATTTATTTTTATTATCACACGTTCTAGATCTTAAACTTTAAACTTTAAGTTTTAATTTTATTAATTTATGCTCTAATTTTTTTTTATAAGAACCAGATTCTCCTCAATTTATAGGAGATTGAACGGTCTGTTTGCACATGTGAGGTTTACTATGAGTATTATCTCAATAATTTGAATAACAGTATGTTTCATCCGCAATTATGTGAAATAAAAAATAAATATTATATTATTGAGTATGTAAGTAATATCGTACTATTTCATTGTAAGTCAAATTGTGAGTGTTTTTTACAAATCTCAAACATTTTCTTTTGAACAATTCATTTTTTAGATCACAATATATAAATTATTCATGAGAAAAATCAGATTGATTCAATAACCATAGTCACGTTTTATTTATTGTATTTATTTCTAAAAAATATATGACTTAGATTTGGAATAATATTTTTTTGATCAGCAAAGAAAAATTTCATTTAACAGCATGAAATTAAAAGTACAAGAAGATGACATGCATCGAGAGAGATTCGAAAAGTATAAAAATACCCCTACTACTGCTACTCACATCCATACAATCAACCCCTTAGCCTCTCGATTTTTAAAACAGAAAAAAGTGAAGAAGGACTTAACTAAAAAAAAAAATACAAGAAACCCCACATAATCAACCCACCAAAACACCCAAAACAAACTAAATTAACTAAACCAACACCCAAGCTGCCCGAACCACCCAAACTAAAGTCTAATCACCAACTCACTCTGCCAAGACCCACGCCTCTGCAACAACAACTCCCAAAGCCCTCACCACCCACGCCTACGCTGCTGTCCACGCCACCCCTAAGCTGCTGCAACTCCCAACTCCCAAAGCCCACAACCAGAGTTGCTGCAGCACCTTACTAACCACACCTATGCTGTTGAACCGGCTGAGAAGATTCCATAGCCAACACCGGGAGTAAACTCAATGCTGCTGCAACACCGAAACTCACCCACAGATCAACTCCCACCAGGTCTTCTTCTTACCCACACCTCTTCTTCTTACTCAGACCCACTGTAGATCCACGCACCGACCAACCGCCGGGACACCTCCAAACATTAGGAAAAAGTTCACCCCTCAAACTCTGACTCATGGAGGAGCGCTCGAATGAAAACCAGACAGATCTGGATCAACTACAACACCCATGTTTCCGCCCAAACAAAGCATCGATACTTCTCCACCAAATCTGAACCAGAGTTCAACCCTCAAGCTCCTACTCGCAAAAGAGCGCACGAATGAAAATCATGGACGACCCCTGATAAAACAGTTGAACCGGGCCCCGAAACACCAAAAACAAAGACTACCGCAGCAACACTAACGCACCTAGATGGGAAAAAATGGGGGAATCAAGTTTATTGAAGGAAAAAAACTAACAAGCAGACGTTGGAAGAAAAACAAGCTAGGCCAGCCGGCCACCATAGCCAAAGGCGGCGGCCGGCCGGCCCAAAAAAGAGGCCTGGGGCGGAGGTTTTTTAGAGAGAGAGAGAGAGAGACCGAAAATAGAGAGAGAGAGAGAGAGAGAGGGTATTTTAGGTTGCCTATTCGATGCCATTTGGAATAATATTTGTCATTCATATTTTTGTAAATAAATCTTATAAACTAATGTGGTTATGGTAATCGGATCGACTAGATTTTTTTATGTATAATTTACACATTGTTGTTTAAAAAATATGCAGTTCAAATTATCAAGATAGGACTCATGATGCCCAAGTAACTATCCAATTCACAAAAGTTCCGTTTGATTAAAAAAAAAAAATTAGATATAAAGTGAAAGTGAAAGAAAAGAAAATATATTTTCTTGCAAGCATTTTATTAAGATGAAAATTTTGTAAGAAAAAGATAGAAAAATTTAAAAATTTAATTATAGATAACTCAAACATTCAAATTTTCTTGTGTTTTTTTTTACAAAAAATTAGTTACAATACTAATATAAGTTGTACAAAAAAAACAACAAAGCCCCAGGCTTTGATGGGTTCAACCTCACTACAGGAAATTCAACTTTTAGTGGCATTTGAAAAACGCCGCTATAAGTGTTAAAAACACCGCCAATTCTTTTTGTGACGCTTAGTACCAAACGCCGAGGACGCGGCCGTCGCTATAGCTTTATGGAGTTTTAAAAATATCGTGATATTACGCCAAATGTCCTACTAAACCCACGCTGACGTCATCGACAATATTTAGCGACGTTTTGAAAAAACGCCGTTATATCTTTTAAAAAAATATGACTATTGGTATGCAGGGTTTAAGAGGCGTTTGTAGAAACACCGTCATATCCTCTATTTATTTTTTTTTTGATTGAAATTGTGCTAATTTTATTTGATTGAACTAAAAAAATACTTGTAATAACACTAATATAAAATAATAACTCCCATTCAAATAGCTGTAATGAAGCATTAATTCACTTTCTCATTCAATTAATATCCAATCACCATTACCTACAAAATTAATATATCCAAAATCCAAAAATCATGTAACATTAACCACAAACTAACATATATCCAAAAATCATGTCTTAATATTAACCACAAACTAACATATATCCAAAAATCATGTCTTCGCATAAAAGTTGTAGTCTTCACTGGTCTACATGCCTACATTAGAACATAAACGGCAATTAGATTCACCAAAATAAACACAAATTGAAGAATTTGTACCCAATACTTATAAAAAGTACTTAAAACTTGAAGAAGCACTAACAAGAAACAAGAAGATTTTCACATACCAGGAAGCACTAAATACCTATAAAGAAAATTAATTTAAAAAACAATGTCAGTTTTGCTTAATTTAAAACACTTTCTAACCCAAAATGTAAAAAAGAAAGAAATAAAGACAATAAAAAAAATGGAAGGAAAGTCAAAGTACCTGAGGCTAACTAGTCATTTAAACATCCCATGGAAATTGAATCACTTCATGGTACTTAACATGGTTTAACATTCACATTAACATTTGGAATGAGTCTGCCACATTTTTTCTACAGCATTAAAATTAATCAATCTGGCAAATAATCATTAGCAGCAGTATAAATCTACGATAAAAAAGTGAAACACTGGAGTGAAGTGAAAATTTGTTTCATTAGATCTAGACAAACAACTTTGGACAACCAAATAATCAAAGCAATTCTATGTGTGTTTGCCAAATAACAAGCAAACACTACCCAAAAATGAACACTGAGGAAATATCCTACACCATACAATTGAAAACAGATTCACTTGATTCACAGTTCATGTGACACTGCCCTAGTCCTAAAAGTTTGAAATGTTTGACAAGTGAAACTCAAACAATGTGGACAAGCCTCTAATGTGGAGAAACGAAGCCACATTATTCTCTCCTCCACATCATCACTTGCATCTGAAAAATAAGATAACTACCCATGAGGTTTTAAGATGACAACCAATGTTATAACTTATATAAGTAAATGGAAAAACACCAAAATTGCATAAATAAGATATGCAAAGACAATGGCATCAGTGGGCAAGAATTCTCAACAGGAAAATTTACCTGAAGTTCAGAGATCAAGTGTAAGCCATCATATGCAAAGTCTTTGCACCAACATACCAGAGAAATAAATAAAGAAGCATAGTGACAAGAATTATATAATTATTTTTACACAAATATATGCATCACATTTGCATAAACAATGAAACCCATCTATATATTGAAAATATAAATAAAAATAGATAAATACAAACATATTTGCATACACGTGTAGCGTGAGAGATAGTGATTAAAGTTATACCAAACGACAGAAAAGCAAGTGAAATAACAATGCACCTACGTTTGTAAATTTATTAAAATTCTACAGTTTGGTGACAGCATCTGCTACACATAAATTAGTTCTAGAGACGCGGCATGTGACGTGTAAACGAAAATGTGGCTGAAAGAGTATTAAATGGAAAATTATGCCAAGTCACTGTCAAGTGTTAAGAAAAAAATACAAAACATTGGAATGAGAAAAAAAAAAAAAGGATGCCAAGATAAACTTGAGTAAATGCTTAGATTCCATCAAGATGATAAAATTAACACTGAACATAGATTGACTACAAGATTTCACTTGTAAATTATGAACATAAAGAACCTAAAGGTAATTTTTCCTAATGACATGGATAGGCCCATAAGGCTTACAGTCCACAGCAAATAACCCCAAACCCATCGCATGGGACCCATAGCATAACCCGGCTGGCAAAGCCCAGGACAGCTGGAGGCCATTTGGGCATGGAGGGCCAATGACATTCGGGCACATGGCAAGTGAAACACAGGCCACATCAGCAGACAAAAATCTGCAAAATTATTGCCACAACACATCATCATTAATGCAGCCCATCACAACATTTATTACGATAACACCTCCCCGTCGGAACAGAGCCCCCTTACCCTGAACAAGGTAAGCTACGGCACAGGCTTTCGGCGGAAAGGGGCACGTCGCAAGGGACAGTGAAATGATTACCAAAGGATATAAGCAAGAATCGAAGACAAGAGGAAGGTTAAGCTTTTCTATCTCTCTCTCTCTCTCTCTATACTTTTCCTTCTCTCATTTCTGATTTGCTCGCCGAAGGGTTCACTGGGGGACTACCCCCTTCCCCTTTGGACTTGCTTGCAGGTCATCTAGTGGAACCATCCGCTTGGATCAGAACTTGAAGAGCTTGGACCAGCCCGACCCATACACCCAGGACGAACTGCATCATCAGTTGGCGCCGTCTGTGGGACTTCAAAGCCTCAGCCAGACTGAGCACTTCAAAGCCTCGGCCTGACCGAGCACTCAAAGCCACAGCCAGACTGAGCACTTCAAAGCCTCGACCTGACCGAGCACTCGAAGCCACAGCCAGACTGAGCACTTCAAAGCCTCAGCCAGACCGAGCACTCAAAGCCTCAGCCAGACAGAGCACTTCAAAGCCTCGGCCTGACCGAGCACTTCAAAGCCTCGGCCTGACCGAGCACTCAAAGCCACAGCCAGATTGAGCACTTCAAAGCCTCGGCCTGACCGAGCACTCAAAGCCACAGCCAGACTGAGCACTTCGAAGCCTCAGCCAGACCGAGCACTCAAAGCCTCAGCCAGACAGAGCACTTCAAAGCCTCGGCCTGACCGAGCACTCAAAGCCACAGCCAGACTGAGCACTTTAAAGCCTCAGCCAGACCAAGCACTTCAAAGCCTCAGTCAGACTGAGCACATCAAAGCCTCGGCCAGACCGAGCACTCAAAGCCTCAGCCAGACTGAGCACTTCAAAGCCTCGGCCTGACCAAGCACTCAAAGCCTCTGCCAGACTGAGCACTTCAAAGCCTCGGCCTGACCAAGCACTCAAAGCCTCAGCCAGACTGAGCATTTCAAAGCCTCAGCCAGACTGAGCACTTCAAAGCCTCGGCCTGACCAAGCACTCAAAGCCTCAGCCAGACAGAGCACTTCAAAGCCTCAACCAGGCTGACCACTTCAAAGCCTCGGCCTGACCAAGCACTCAAAGCCTCAGCCAGACTGAGCACTTCAAAGCCTCTGCCAGACCGAGCACTCAAAGCCTCAACCAGACTGAGCACTTCAAAGCCTCGGCCAGACCGAGCACTCAAAGCCTCAGCCAGACTGAGCACTTCAAAGCCTCGGTAGACCGAGCACTCCAATGCCAAACAAGACTACATTTTCCACACTTGGTCACATTTTGAAACCTCCTCATAACACTTAGTTACATTTTTCACACTTACTTTCAAATTTACACTTAACTGTCTAGTTACAATTTGCAACCTACCCTTTATCCTCATTTGTGGACTCTTACTGCACAAAATTTTTACTGCACAATTTTTATCCCAACTGTTATAAACAAGAATTCATTCATTTTGGCCAGTACAGGCCCACACAGTCAGTTGCCAACATACACAAAATAACATTTGTACACAAATTCATCATAACCAAACTCTTCATTCATTTATTCATTCACTCATAGATTTACAATGTATACAAAAAGTTCATTACAAAAAAAAAAAAAAAAAAAAAAAACAAGGTGTTCTCACGTATTTCATTTACTAATCAGATTATCTCCCACCCCATCCAGTTTGTTTCTCCAATCTCTTCTCTACAAGTTTACAATTAACCGTTTAGTAACGATTTGCAACTTACTTTTCTGTCCTCATCCATGGATTCTTCATCCGTACTTATTAAACTGGAAGTACTAACCCCATTCGAATATTATGTTCTACAATTTCATAATCCAATTTTTCAATAAACCACTATCATCCTTTCAATTTTCATACAAATCCGATCTCACCCTGCAAGAGGGAACTTTTAACTTAACTTTGCACGAAATTTTTATTGCACAATTTTTATGACCAGATTTTGTTACAAGACTTCATTCATTTTAGACAATACAGGCCAACACAGTCAACTGACAACATAAACGAAATTTTATTCATTTATAATGTGTACACAAGTTCACTACAAAAAAAAAAAAAAAAACAAAACAAAAAAAAAAAAAAAAAAAAAAAAAAAATTTACCAATCGTTACACTACTCAGGTCCAAGTCTGGGAACAGCTCTTCAGCTCTGCGTTTGAACATCTTCCAACCGCTGTCCCAGAACTCAGCCATTTCGTACTTGTAGAAGTCTGACTGCTGGAAGCTCTCAATAACTTCTGCCTCCGTCCTAGCTCCAGCAGTCGTCCTTGATGGGCCCACCCCCCCAGACTCTTGCCCAGCCAGATTCCTGGCGATTGCGGCATCTACTGCCATCTGAAATTCGAGAGACCTTTTGTATTGCTCCACTGCTGCAATGCACAGATCGGGGTAGGCCGCCCTCTCAGAAGCCGCCTTCGCCCTCTCTTCGTCTAGCTCTTTCTGCAGGGCCCCCCTTTCAGCAGCCGCCGTCGCCCTTTCCTCTTCCGTTCCCTTCCTCAGACCCTCCATCTCCGTCATCGCCTTCGCCTTCTCTGTTTCCAACTCCCTCACGAGCCTCCCCTTCTCCTCCTTTGCTTTAGCGCGCTCATCCTCTAACTCCTTGAACAGATCCCCAATTCTGGCATCTGCCTCATCTTTTTGCCTAACCAGCTCTTCATTGCTACTCATGGCCTCTTCATGCCGCTCGATCGCAACGGCGCAGGCTCTTTCAGACTCCTCCAACTTTTTCTGTTCGCCAGCCAGTTGGAACTCGAGCGACACAACCTTACGGCGTGTGTCCTCCAGCTCCAACTTGACTGCTTGCAGCACAGCATGGGCAGTCTTCCAGTCGGCACTCTCCTTCTTCAACTTGGCCAACTGGGCCTTGGCCTCTTCAGCCTTTAGCTTGGCAGCCCCTGCTTTCCTTAAAAGGGCCCTGCCAAGGTGGTTACCTCCATTTGGGCGGAGCATAACCCCCTCAACAGGTCAGCCTCATTGAATCCGGATGCCGAGCGCAGGGCTGTCTCCTCCACAATCTTCACCAAGCGGTCTGCTCCCGCCCTGGCTGGGCCTTCTTCTCCCTCCAACCTTCCAGCTACCACGTGAGCGTGGTAGATTGCCGTGGCCGGACGGACCCCTCCTTCTTGGGGTACAGGGCCCCTTGGGGTCTGCTCCCTCCCGCTCGGCTCAACCTCAGTCAACCCAACTCCTACTTGCATTGTTGGGGCAGTCTCCACAACCTCTAGTGTTGGGGTGACCCCCACCACCTCTGGGGTATCCTTGGCCACAGGGGCCTCCACCTCAGCTGGGGCCGCCTTAGCCCTCTTGGCCCCAAACTCATCTGCAGCTCCCTCTAGGGCACTCCTCTTCTTTTTCTTCTTCTTTTTCAGAGCCTCCCCCTCATTTCTGGCCTGTTCTTTTACAGGATCTACTGGGGGCGGTCGTGGCTCAAAACTGCTTAAGTCCTTCCCCTCTAGTGGCCTTAGGCACGGTCGGATCCTCTCCTGCACGGTCGGTTGAGGCGATCGGTCTCCTCGCGTTTCCTTCAACTTCGTGGCTTTTGCAAGTATGGCCTTATCCTCTACTTCCTGAACTTCTCTTCTCGCCTCCAATTCTGCTCGGTCGAGGTCCCCACCCCTCGGCTGCGGTCCCAACCCTGCCTCAAACAATGCGGATGGCTAAACAAGCTCGTCCCATTTGGCCTTCTCCCTCTCCCTCCACTCCTTCACCCTCTTCACCCTCTCTTCCGCTGCGGCCCCTAGTCTGGGCTCCATCGACCTAAAGGGCACCTTCCAGATGGTGTGCACTCCCAGTCCCCCATTAGCAGACACGTAGAACCACCGTGGCCGCCACCCCTTGATCGATGTCGGCAGCCCCGCCACCAACCCCCTCCCCATCATTGCCTGTAGGGTAACCCACGTCTCTTGCTGCCCCGAAGCCTTATAACAAGAAAGGAACTCGTCTACCGCCATGGCTTTCCCTCCATTCGCCTTGGGCCACGCGCTAGCACAGGCCAGCAGAATCTTCCATGCATTGGGCATCAATTGCCCCGGTGCTACCTCCAGACGGTTCAGTATGTCAACCACCACTTGGGGCAGTGGCAACCTCAGCCCACCTTTTAGCACCTACTCATAAAGGGAAAACTCCCCTGACCTGGCATCAGACGGCCTTTCCCTT